TGCTTTTTAGTCTTGGAGATTGAATCCAAGGCCTCATATACACTGGGCAAGCACTCTCTACCATGGAGCTGTACTTCTGACCATCTCCTTGAAGTAAATGTTGCCTGACTGTGGTCAGACATCTATTTGTTTGCACGGCTATCAGTTTTTGTTCTAGATATGTCCATGTCATATTGTGTGCAAATGTTTTATGCCCTTAGTAAATGGTCTTCATTGATATGAAATGTCCTCATTTAATTCTTTCAACTTTTTGATCTTGTATCATTTTCATCTGACATTTCCACTGCTAAACTCTCTTTCCTGTGTTGCAAACTTTGCCTGGACTAACTCTATTCCTCCTCTGTATTCCTTTTGAATATGCAACCACGAAGCCTTTCTCCATTTTGATATTTTACTGTGTAATCATTTTGAAGTGTGCTTTCCTTCCCACCTGCTGTTTCTTACACTTTTCTACTGACCTGTAATACCATGACCTTCCTTGTTTCAGGACAGGGATAACAGAAATGAGTGATTTCTGTCATTTACGGCAGGAGGGAGCAGCCACCCTGTCCATTCAGACTGCTGTCATGATCCAATCATATGTTTTCTTCAACTGCAGATTTTTCCCCACCCCCAAGCACTCTTTTCTCCCCCTCTGGTGAGGATGCCATAGACATTGAAGGTGACTTGGGAGACATAGAGCAAAGCAGAGCTGGTGAATGTGTTTCGTGGCATGCTTTCATTGAGAGAACACTTGGATGCCAGTCTTTGTGGCACACACCTTTACTGCTTGGTTTGAAAGGCAAGGCGGGTGAATCTCTAAGTTAGAGGCCAGCCTGTTCTACAGAGTGAGTTCTAGGACAGCCAGGGCTACACAGAGAGACCCTGTCTCAAAGCCTGCACGTGCCCACACACCCAGCACACAGGAACGGCATCATCACTAACAATACACTTGAGTTTCCACTCTGGGGCTGATGCTGTGGCCAGAATACATTAATTAGTCAGTACCAGTTTCCCCAGTACTGTGTTATCATCTTTCCCTGCCTCATGCCCAGGAAGATCTGTTTAATTTATAAACAGTTCCCTTTAGATAACAATTCCAGTGATATCACAGTATTGCTATTCTTGGGTGATTTAGTGGCAATATGAATACTCTAGTTTCTTCCATGGGAAAACACAGGTAAAGGCCACCAACTAGACTGTGAGGAGACTTTGCACAAAGAGCAGTATGACCAGCCATTGGCCATTAAAGGCAGTGTTTTTGTTTGTTTGTTTGTTTTTGTTTTTCAAGACAGGGTTTCTCTGTGTAGCCCTGGCTGTCCTGGAACTCACTCTGTAGACCAGGCTGGCCTCGAACTCAGAAATCCACCTGTAAAGGCAGTGTTTAGAATGTATTTTTTTTAAGGTCAGGGGAAAAAAATCATTACTCATAAAGGAATTTAAAACTATTTTTGCTTTCTTATTTTATTTAAAACATTCCCACCTCCCTTTTCATTTTTTTTTATAAATTCATCAAAGGGAGTTTGTTTTCATTTGTAGGTCATTAAATGCCCACTCTAGAATCTGAGACTTTAAAGGGCTTAGCTTAGACCTATCGTATGATGTTTAGAAGGCTGTTGTTAGACTAACGTGACCTACTGACCTAGGCCATAATGAGGATAGAAGATATAGATCCCTATAAAGTTTGCGCAGATAAATTTACATTTGCAAAAGAATTTTCTTTTTAAAATCCTATCCCAGCTCGATGTGGTGACGCAGGCCTTTCTTTATGTGTCAGTACCAAGCAGGCAGAGGCAGGTGGCAATCTGTGAGTTCCAGGCCAGTTCTGGAAAGAAGTTCAAAGGCAAACATGTACTACTTTAATTTTTGCAGGTGAGTGCTGAGCAGTTAAATTAGTGATTCTCTTAGGACAGTCCACACAGGAGATGGCAGCAGAATGGCTTGGTGACAAGCACCACCATCTCCACTGCAACCTTCAAAGGTTTCATCTTCCTGCAACACAGCTTTACTTTAAAAGGAACAGGGTTGGGCAGGCAAGAGGGCTCATCAGGCAAAGGTCATGGATGACCTGCATTTGATTCCTAGAACCCACATGGTGGAAGGAAAGAAACAACCACTAGGTTGTCCTGTCCTCTGACCTCCACATATGCTTGGTGGAATGCATGCACATATAGACATACACACATCACATACAATGAATGCATAAGAAATATGGCAAAAAATGTAAAGGGCAGAGTTGTGTTTTCAAGGAACTGATTCTCTATTTTATTTCTAAAGAGGTACAAACTATAACTCTGGTGTTTGTTTGTTTGTTTGTTTGTTTGTTTCGAGACAGGGTTTCTTTGTGTGGCCCTAGCTGTCCTGGAACTCACTCTGCAGACCAGGCTGGCCTCAAACTCAGAAATCCACCTGCCTCTGCCTCCCAAGTGCTAGGATTAAAGGTGTGCACCATCACTGTCTGGCAAAATTCAGTTCTCTTAATTCAGTTCATCACTGTAGAAAGTCTTTTGTTGTTGTTTTGTTTTAGTTTGGTTTTTTGGGTTTTTTTTGTTTTGTTTTTATTTTGGTTTTTTCGAGACAGGGTTTCTCTGTGTAGCCCTGGCTGTCCTGGAACTCACTCTGTAGACCAGGCTGGCCTCAAACTCAGAAATCTGCCTGCCTCTGCCTTCCAAGTGCTGGGATTAAAGACATGCACCACCACTGCCTGACTATAACTCTGTTTTAATTTTTAAAGGTATCTTCTTGGTTGGTAGTGACCTTAAAAAGAAGCCAGTGAGACCTCCTGAGAAGTAGCTGATGTAGTGTAAATTTGAGACTGATGCACCTTGATTCCGTGGCAGAGTGGAGAGACGGAGCACAATGTTGGCATAAGTTCCTTCCAGTCTTAGTTTATTGTTGCCTCTGCTGTGGAAGTTAATCTATCTCTAGCTCTGAATCAAATACTTAGAGGCCTTTGCTCTGTAGGATATGTAGAGCCCTCTCTTCACACTCCGATGAATTGCTAAACTGCTTCCAACTCTAGGAACCTGCAAACCCTAGCCAGTGGACTGGATGAGATTTTTGTAAATTGGAGTCTGTCAGAACACAGCCAGGCCTGTTATTTCTTATGCCATCCAACGACAGCTTTCTCTATGGACGGAACTGCTTCAGCAGGCCACAGACTGTGATGGTAAAACCATAACCATTCAGTATCAGAAAAAAATCAGCCTTTTGTGGCCAGTCCTGAGTTGAGTCAGAGACTGACTCCTATGATTAGTCAGTTCATAAACCAACTAAGACCAGCACTTACAACAATCATCCTTTGCAGGGAACCTTACAGATTGTGGAGTGGTTCATACATGCTTTGTCTTCTGATTCCTTCTCGTAAGTGACAGGGATGACTTTTCCATGAAGACATTGCATGATGTCCCAGGGTCAAGAACTAAGGGTCCATGTTTTCAATATTTAAACATCTAGAAGAAGTCCTTTATCTCTGGGAAATGCTTATCATCTTCAAAAGAGAGTGACCGTGATTGCTGAAGTAACCCTTTGGTGGTGCACTGGCTTGAAACCACATACTGGACGATCTGCAACTGTTGTACTTTATTATAATGGTGGATTTTTTAGACTGGTTTATCATCATCATCATCATCATCATCATCATCATCATCAGACAGGATTTCTCTTTGTGTAGCACTGGCCACCTTGGAACTAGCTCTATAGATCAGCCTGGCCCTGACCTACCTCTGCCTCCCAAGGGCTGGGATTAAACACATGTAATACCACCGTAGGGCTCATTATCATTGAATTGAGAGTAAAATACAGTCTAATTGAAGGACCGTGTTGGCACAAAACTTTAATCCCAGCACTGTGGGTTCAAGGCCAGCCTGACTGATAATCTGAGTTCTAGGATAGCTAGGGCTACACAAAGAGAAACCCTGTCTCAAAAACAAATAAAACAAATGAACAAAAAAGACAATGAGAGGAACATATAGATTTTATATAATGTTTTATAAAATATATAAGCCTAATTAAATTACAAGTTAAAAATATATCTTTACTCTAATCCTCCGTCTTTAAGTAAGTGATGAACAGGGCATCTTTTACTACAGTAATGCTATTCTGCCGGATGGCACATGCCCCTGACTGTACATTATTACACAGTTGCCAAAGCACCAAGGATGAACTAAAGCTGGGTATGGTGGCACCTGGGTATGATCCTAACCCTCAGAAGGCCAGAAAGGAGGATGAGGAACTTAAGGCCAACCTAGGACACATAATAAGTCCCTGTCTCAACCCATCAGCAAGGACAAATTAATCCCAACATAAACTACAATGCTGAGTAATGATAATATGTCTATCCGTTGGGGGATATGGATAACGAGGCTATGCACAGGGAGCAAAATGTAAGTTATAGAAAAATTTTTGTACCTTCTGCACAATACTCCTACAAGCTCCAAACTGCATTAAAGTTTGATTTTTTAAATTAGATAATACAGCAGGAGGTTGGTGAAATGGCTTTGTGGGTTAAAGCTCTTTTATCCAAGCCCACTGACCTGACTCCTCAGGACCCACACAGTGGAGAGTGAAACTTATGTAAGTCATCCTCTGACTTCCATATGTGTTTCAAGGTGCATATGCAAGTACACACACACACACACAAACACACATGTACATGTGCATACTCGCACACACAATAAATAAGTATAATTTTTAAAGAGGAAAGCACAACAGGTGTATGGTGCAGACCTTTGATCTTATCCATGAGGTAGAGGAAGGAGAACTGTAAATTTGAGGCCAGTAAGTTCCAGACCAAACCAGCATTACATATTGAGAACCTAGTCAAGAAAAGGAAGAGAAAAAGGAAGAGAGGAAAAGAAAAAAGGTGAAGGAAGTAAAAAGTCTAACAAAACCTATTTCCTCCTTAAAAGCATTATGAATATACATTTTTTTAAAAAAAAATGGCACCTCTGGCATGAACACAAGAACAAGGTTTCTGATTCTTCCAGAAGAATGGGCACCCAGCAAAATTAAGAACTTACTTCACACCCAGGTTGGATCTCCCAGGAACAGGATTCCTCTGGAGAAAGCATACCCCTTTGGAAGGCGTGGTCACCCAGGCATGATTGACACAGAGTGGACTCAAAGTCTGACTCCCCAGGAGGAAGATGCACTCCAGCAGGACCAGTGTACTTCAGGTTGGGGCTCTGATGCTTGTCCATGCTGACCATGGGGCTCTTGATCCATCTTCGTACCTGAGAGTGCAGGAGAGAGTAAGAGAGGCATTTGCTTAGGTGGTTGTTTATAGCATGCTGCTGGGAGATTTGGTGAGACAGAGATTGAGAAGAGGAAAATTTTGTCTTACAGTGTCTCAGTCCTTCCAACCATCTCTTCTAAGCCCGTCCATGCTGACTGTTCTTCCACCTCTCCAGGCATCTCTTCAATTCTAGGCTTAAGATAATGATTACTTCCTCTCGTGTTGTAACAATTACAACATTTTCATTGTCCCCTATTGTTATTATTTGTGCTCTGGGAATTGAACGCAGGCCTTCGTGCAGGCTAAGCAAACACTATACTACCAAGCTAGGGCCTCAGTCTGATAATGTTTCTATTTTTATTAACATTAAAATTCATTATTAAAATTAACACTGTAAAAGGGAAGTGTTTATCTTGGCTTACAGCGTACTTAGATGCGGTCCACCATGGTGGGTAAGGCATCAGAACAAGTAGCTGCGTAAGTGTGTGTGCAGCTAGGACTCTAATCCAGGAGCTGACGGAACAGGAAGCGGGGCTGGATCAGAGAAGTCCCAAGGCCAGGTACTGGAAAGATGGCTACCAAGTTAGGAATCTGGACTGTTTTCTGCAGAAAATCTGAATTGTTTTCAGCTTCCACATTGAGCAGCTCACAACTGCTGGTACCTTCAGATCCAGAGGATGCGCAAACCTCCCCAAGCCCCTCGTTAATGTACCCATGCTCTCTGCCTCCTATATACACAGAACTAAGAAATAAAAACAAGCCTTTAACACCGTAAGTTTACTGGGCATGATGATGCACACTATTAATTCCAGCACTTTGCAAAGACAAGAATAAGTATATATTTTTCACTATTATAAAATCTCATTTTTTCCCCAGTGAAGTTGTAGATTGGGATGTACCTGAATTGTAGCCAGGCTTATTGGTTCATCCCTGCGATCCTTGCTACTTGAGAAACTGAGGCAGGAATACAAAAAGTTCAGAGCCAGTTTGAGCTACTGAGTATGTTCCAGGCCAGTGTGAGTAACTAACATTTGAACTGGATGTGCAGTCGTCCCTCCACTTGGGGGCCTGAGGCAGGTGGAGCCACCTTTAAGGCCAGCCTGAGCTACAAAGTAAGATTCTGTCTCAATAGCTGGGAGGAAGATGAGACTGAGCATGAGCTCACTTTGGAATTCTACAATTGGGAAGAACAAGTTCAAGGTCAGCCTTTGCTTTATAGGCAGTTCAAGCCTGGGCTTCTTGGGAGCCAACCTCAATGTTCCTCTGTCAAAAGTCTGTAACAGTGAATGCTAACAGTAAAATGTTTACACTATAATAGACACAGCTGTATTCCCTGTTAGAGTCATGGGTGGTTTTTTCCCCCTTTCACAACACACAGTCTTTTATATTTATTTTTTTTTATAAATGTTAGGTTGCATCATAATTGCTGCTCTGGGCTATACTTTCATTTCTTAGGGAAAAATTTTATCATTTATAAGGCTCTTAAGCAATTAAAACCATATTTCTCTATTTGTTTACATTTGTGTTGTTAAATTTTCTTTATTTGCCTTATTGATGTGTCTGCTCTCCTCTCTCATTCTCCTTCCCTTCTCTTCCTTTCTCATGTCCCTCTCTCTGAGAGATCTTTCTATATAACCCAAGGTGACCTCAAACTTGTGACCTTCTTGCTTTAGTTGTACAAGGACTGGAATTGTAGTGTAGTCTGACACCACCATACCTGACTGAAAACTCTAGTGTCCCTTCTCTATTTTCTCTCTGTCACTGGTTTTTGTCCCTACTTTCCCTCTCTTGCCCTCCCCTCCTGTCCTTCTCATGCCTCTCCCCAAGCTCCCTGCTCTGCTCCTTGAGTGGCTGGTAGTGAACCAACCCATGACCCTTCCTAGACTAATGCTCCATCACTAAGCTGTACCCCCAGCCCTGTATTCTTTTCAACATCTGTTCAAACTATCATTTTTGGAGTCTTAGCAGGTATTCATGCCTTCAATCTCAGTACTTGGGAGGCAGGAGGATCATAAATTTAACAAGGTCAACCTTGACTTTATAAAATCAAGTCTCAACCTGGGCTGTGGTGGTGCACACCTTTAGTCCCAGCACTTGGAAGGCAAAGGCAGGCAGATCTCTGAGTTTAAGGCCAGCCTGGTCTAAAGAGCAAGTTCCAGGATATCCAGGGTTACACAGAGAGACCCTGTCTAGAAAAACAAAAACGAAACAAAAAATCATGTCTCAAAAGTATTTTTTAAACCATAAAATAAATGAATACTATTTTGAATGTACTATCATGATGTTTAAAAGGCGGGTTGTTTCCATGAGTACTTCTCATATGGCAGGGCACTATAAGCATCGTAGTAGGAGTATTCAGAGGCATTCATTATGTGTGGGAAAGTGGCTATGAGGACTGTGAGTCCCCAGATCCCACGGAAAGCTGGTGGCTGTCATGTGTGTGATCCCAGGGGTTTCAGCAAGCTGAGACTGCAGGACAGAGGATTCCCCAGAAGCTGGGCTGAACTAAGCTGCCGCAAAGAACAAAAAGAAACTGTCATAAGCAGCATGAAGGAGAGGATCTGATACCAAAGATGTCCTCTAACTGGGATGCTTTGTCACAGATGTGCCCATACTCACAAAGCATACTCTCACACAAGGCACACTCACACAGACACACTCACAAAACACACTCACAAGGCACACTCACTTACAAGGCACACTCACACAGGAACACTCACACATGCACACTCACAAGTCACATTCACACAGGCACACTTACTCACAAGGCACACCCAAACACATCATACATACACACACAGAGAGAAATAAAAATGTTAAGGCTTAGGGTACAGCTAAGTGGGGTGTGCTTACCTTTCTGTGTAAGGTTTGGTTTCCAGCATTATAAAAGGAAGTAGTTTGTCTGCATCATGAGTAGAAGTCTAAAACCTAAGACTCTGAGACCAGAACAGAATCTCTATTCTTGATCTAGTCTCAAGTATGTTTTTGTGTTGGCATTTTAGGTCATAGTAGAGACTGGATTAACTCTGTGGCCCCTTGAACTCTAGGCAAATGCCCTACCATTTAGCTATGTCCCCAGCCTTCCAAATGTGTTTCTGATCAATCTAGAAATAACTACGTTTTATTTCAGACAGATTTGTTTTGGTTTATTTTTTGTTGTTGTTTTTTGAGACAGGGTTTCTTTGTGTAGCCCTGGCTGTCCTGGAACTCACTCTGTAGACCAGACTGGCCTCAAACTCAGAAATCCACCTGCCTCTGCCTCCCAAGTGCTGGGATTAAAGACGTGGGCCACCACTGCCCAGTGGAAAATATTTTTTTATTATTCTTCTTCAGAAAGATTTGAGCTTGAAGCTGGTAATGATTCCTGCTTTATTTCCAAACTTGAATTTGAAATTAATCTTTTCCCTCTGGCTTTCTCTTTTACCAAGTCAATTTAGCTTTGCAGGGACGAGGAACAAGATGAGAACAGATCCATCTTCCATTTTATTCACAAGTCACAGGGCCTGACTACAATTATTCTCAGATTCTGAAAGTGTAAATCTCCCTTTGCCTCTATGGATGCTCAATTATAAGTTGAGGCGTACGTTTATTTATTAGAAGGACATATTATTTCTCCTATGAAACACATGACGTTTGGTATATAAGGCAGAACATGAAGCAGGAGTTGTGAGCGGGCTCTGCGGGGGCTGAAGGTCCCTATTTCCACCAACCTAAGGAAAGCACTGGGCAGTAAAGGCAGAATTGTGGCTACAAGGTGTCCCATGAGTGGGCTCATCCCCAGGTCTGCATCTCAGGGAGGGCAGCCAGGCCCCAAACACAGAAACTAGAGATGGAAAGCCAACCACAGCTTCCAGGAAAGCAAAAGAAGGCAATGGCTTGTGCAGATTTATTTGGGAAGTGTGTGTCCTCCATTTGCCCAGCATTGATTCTTTGAATCCATTGCACGTCTTTCTCTGAAGCTAAGAGAAATCTACGATTTGTGCATGTGCCAAGAGCAGACGTGTCTGTTGTTTTAAATCAGTCTGCTGTGGGCGCAGTGAGGATGGGTCCTGGATGCCAAGGCACTCTTGACAAATCAAGCCATTCCAGATCTTAATGAGAATATGGTCACCTCTCTGCAGAGAGTGTAGCTAGGGAAGGAAGTAATCTATTTGTTCAGGAGTATCAAAGAAAAACATCACAAAGTTGACATTTTCTAGCAGGAATGGAGATAGTTTAATGCTTTTTCTTGGTTTAGCGCTCACTCTGGCTTTAGTATGTTCTTTGAAGTTACTTGTGGACGATTTTCAGTAGCCTTTTAGCTTCGTAGTGGTTTCTATGGGGCCTTAATTAAGGACAGGGTTTGTGGTATTTACTTTAGCCTCAGAAATCCCTAGAGAGTGGCTGGGGCGTGAGATGTGAATACATGCACAGGCTCCGTCTCCAGCCCTGCAGCCTGGGCAAGGTGCCCTCTAAAACTGCTGAGCAGAGAGCTTCCCTCAGGCCCTTAGGGAATTCAAGCAGCAGCCCGCCCCTTGTGCTCCTCAGCAGCTGGAGCTGAATTGCTTGGGTGGAGGGAGAGTTGTGAATCGCTTTGGGAACCCTCAGAAACCAGCCACAATGGCTCTGAGCTGGAGACAGCTGTGTCTTAGAGATGTGAATGGCCGATACAGAAGCAGCCCTGGCTGTGTGGCCACCTGGGCCTCGTTTTACTCAGGGCTCCACAACAGTTGTGAAGAGCATCGTAGACAAATGTGGACCAGACAGGAGAAGACGTCCATTTAAAACAAAGAGTTCCTTCGCTGGAGGCTTGGAGGAGTCTAGTTCCAAATTGAACCAGAAGGCAGCTATCTCTGGAGACTGGAGTTAAAGCTTCAGACCATAGCTAGAATTCTGGGCAGTGCCTAGGTAAAACACTAAACATCATTCTTTGCTAAATCTAGTCTGCCTTGGTTTTTATTAGTTTATTTGAAGGGGTAAAAAAAAAAAAACAAAACAAACTATCCAGAAGCCACAGTC